GGCTAGATTGGAAAATGATATCGAAGTCTGGCATAACTCAGGTGCCGACGCACACGAGCTCGGGCATGAATCAAGCCTTTTCAATCTCATTTCTAGTTGGAATTTGATTTGCACCCCCCCCCCCCCCCCCCCGCGCACGCGAGAGAACCTCTATGTTATACAACTCTACAAGCTTCAAAAGAGCTCTTGTATATAAGGGGGGAAAATCCCCATTCCAAACCAATGTGGGACAAAAGCTCACTTTTTCCCTACATTTTCCAACTCAAGTGGGTCTACTTTGAGAATCAATATCTTATTCACCCATTATCCGTTTTGAGCGTACAATATACCAATCTCTTCGTCTCACTACGAAGAATCCGAATCCACTTTAACCCGACCCAAATTGGAAATGGACCCCACTGATAATTGTACCACAAAATAGCCACTTAATATGCCATTTTAAGCTATTTTTTCCAACATATATATATATATATATATATATATATATATATATATATATATATATATATATATATATATATATATATCCATCACCTCCTCTATCTTCTTAAAAACCAGAGTAATGAATGAGGAACCTAAGACTCAGTTATGAAAATTCTAAAAACTTTTGTAATTTCTGAAAACGATGATTGACTAAACTACTACATATGAAAAAATTTTACATACTAAAAATCTCAAATTATTCTGTTGGTGAATTTCTCATAAAAGCAACTTGAGAAATTTGACACCATTTTGTATCTCAAAAGTTCTGGTTTGATTACCTTTGTTTCTTAGTAAAGAAAATTAAAAATTGATATGATAGAGTGTTTCGCACGTCTGAAGACAATGATCAAGTGCTTATTTGTTTGTGCTAAGTTTTAAGTTTGTTATACGAGAGCCAGGTTGCAAACAAGTCATACTAAAGTTATTGAATAAGAGGCTAAGAAGTGGTTTTGATATAAGAAGGGGAATAAAATGTGAATTTCCTACTTTATCCCTCAAATTTTAAATATTTTTTAATTTTTCCGTCACTTTTAACGGACGGGGACCAAATGCGCCACTTCGTTCATAACTAAGGAATAAAAATAGATACGGTCATAATTCATGAACTAAGTCAGAAACTTGGGTATAACTCAGGAACCAAAGATACAATTTTCCCTATTTTAAATTGTTCTAGTTGTATCACTTTCACCCCAAAAAACTGTAAATTAAAGTGGTCCGCCACTTTAACTGCTCTAATCACTCTTACAAAGGCAGATATAATATGGATAATATTTCTTTTTCACCTAAGAAAGGGGATAGTCTTTAATTAAATTTTATTTTTATAAAAATACTTTTGATCACATGAGTATGGAAGTAATTTCACATTAAAGTCTAATCTTGAGGGATGTAAAAATATTTAGTCTAAAATTGCCAACTTTTTTTTTTTTATCATTCAATTAAAATAGTTTAAAAGAAAGGGAAAAAAATTACTTGCAGGACAAGATATTTAAATGATAAAATATAAAGTATAGGTTAGTCATCTTTATTAAACACTAAAATGTTAAAAATTTAAACAGATAATTAATTGTTGCAAATAAATTAAAATTATAAATTTAATTAATTAAATTTAAAAAGTATGACCAAATGTGTTATTAAAATGGATCTTTGAGAAAAGAATTTACAAAAGAAAATATATTTTTACTCCTTTATGTTGTTATGGTTTATGGAACAATACAATTGTTCAAGATTTAGTTCAAGATTCAACTCTGTACTTGTACTAAGTTAGATTGAGTTTATACTAATATTTAGACTTTAGTTCAAAGACAGGTTACTTACAGGCATTGAAGACGGAAGATCAAGGACTGAACCAAATACAAAGATAGTTCAAGGCAGTTAGTTTGTTACAAATTATTTCGGAAGGAGAATATAAAAGTCTTGACTATCTTCGGGCTTGAAATTGACGATTCAAGATTTACTCAGAGAAAATTTCAAAAATGAGAGAGGGTAGATTCGTCTCAACTAAGCAACTTGATGAATTAACATTCTTATCAAGTTGATTTCGACATTTGAAGCAATCCGGCTGTGACCATATGTTGACTACTCGGGAGAGCTGCAGTTGAGGGGGAGCCTCAACATGATCGATCGAGAGATCCTTCACCTATTCTTCAAGAAGTAACTCTGCATTTGAAGGCTATGGAGTAGCCGAGAAGTTTGGAGTTCTTCGCTCATATCGTTGTGGTTTGGTAAGACTTTTGACATTGATCATGAATGAAGAATTGGGCTACTGTTATGGTGCCCCCAGATGTAGAAATCGTTTTTCCGATCTGTGTTAACAAATTACATGTGTTCTTGATTACTTTGCTTGATTATCTCTTGCATGTTATGTGTGTGAATTTGTTTTTGAACTTCTTACTCAACTAGTTCATAGGCTGAATCGTCTCCATAAGACTATTGTGCACAGTCTCCTTGCGTTATTTCTCACAAACTGACTGTGTATTGACCATATCATACAACTAATTGATCTAGAAATTAGAGTTACCCTTATAAAATTCAAAATGTGATAATGTCACAAAATTAGAGAACTATAAGGAACCCCTATTTTCAGTTTCAGTAATCAATTCCACATTAGCATTTCATTGACAGACATGTTCTTGTTGACCAAGAAAGCATCTCCTCAATTCTCAACATATTTGTGTCATTATAAAGACATAATTACGTTGCGAAGTTATGTGTTTTTGCTTCCTAACATTCAACAACTTTATTTAATTATAATCTGTCCAAAAATAACGTACTTTATACAAGGTTACAATCACTTTACAATATATATATAATAAAATAATTAATTGCAAACCCAAAAAAAAAAAAAAAAAAAAAATATCTGGATCTGAAGAACCACGACCACCGTGGTTCTTGATCCATGGCCTCCAATGAAGGCGAAGGCTTCAATTGTACGTCGCGGTCTTTTCTTATATCATTATTATTATTATTATTATTATTATTATTATTATTATTATTATTATTATTATTATTATTATTATTATTATTATTATTATTATTATTATTATTATTATTATTATTTTCATATAGAAATATTTTATTCCAATAATTTTAAATATTATATGTGGATCAAAATATTGTCCACGTGGCAAGGAAGGTTTAGTTCCAAATGTTTTCCATTACGTGTCCATGGGACAACATGTGGTAAATTAATTTATAGAAATCAAATTTATATCAAATTATAATAAGATGTTGACATCTTGTAACTTATGATGAAACAAAACTTGTGAAAGTAAAATCTGACAACGAGATGTCGTGGACAAACATAATCAATCTTAAGAACAATCACGAATTTCTGCAAGAGTTACACACTTACACATCGATCTTCTCATTTTTAATCAAGCTTTGTTTGACTTTATAAAAATAATAATAAGAAGAAGAAGGAAAGAATAATAATAATAATAATAATAATAATAATAATAATAATAATAATAATAATAATAATAATAATAATAATAATAATAATAATAATAATAATAATAATAATAATAATAATAATAATAATAATAATAATAATAATAATAATAATAATAATAATAATAATAATAATAATAATAATAATAATAATAATAATAATAATAATAATAATAATAATAATGAATCAGCCACTACAATTAATACGTGTAATTATGTTATAACAATAAATACTGAATACTCCGTAATAATTTCAAAATATTTTCCTGTTGCGTATCGTCAGCATATTCCATAATATATAATTTAATGTTTTGAGATTGACAAAAGAATTTACAAAATATTTACTTAACGTGTTTAATTTGTCAATTGGTCAAAAAAACACTTAAATAATTTAACAACATAAATACTTAATATTTCAAAATCATATAACCACGTGCTTCGACTTAGGTCTGATATTACTTGTTAGGATCAACCTAGCGCATACCACTATGTCAAAATGTATAACTAACCAAAAAAGCACAATTTTATTTCCTTATACCACACCACATTCTTAAGAGGTAGAATGCTGGACTTACCCTTTCACCAGCATCCGCTCAAATTGAACACTGAATGTAACCTGAAAACGCAATTAGGCCACTAAACGAAAAAAAAAAAAAAAAAAGTGCAATTTCACCTGATAACATGTTACCATCATTTTTAGCATGTTACCTGCTTACGTGGCAGTTGAATTGGTATTTTTAATAATAAATTTTAAAAAATTAAAAATACTGTAATTAAATAAAAGAAATAAAATAAAAATAAAATGACGGGTGGCTAGCAGCCCCGTCTTTTTTTAAAAAAAATTTATTATTAAAAATTATTAAAAATGCTAACTCAGCTGTCTCGTAAGCAGGTAATCTGCTAAAATTGATGATAACCTGTTATCAAGTTAAATTGCATACATTTGAATGTTTAGTGATCTAATTGTATTTTCTGATTGTGTTCAGTGGTCAATTTGAACCTTATTCCTTGAAAAAATTATTTTCTCAATACCCTTTTTGGTCGGACTCCTTGAACGTGGTCGTAGTACGATCTAGCGGAGTTGTACTCTTGCATTAACTTTTCATTTTGATAGAGGTTTTCAAAGGGATATGGGAGGACGACTATGCAGTGTAGAGGAGTGTAGAAACATGTAATAAAAACAACATAAATTCTGTGACCATTGAGAGAATACCAGCTGTTAGTGTTGGGCTGTGTCAACAAAATGACAGGAAACATAAACAGTGTGGCATCACTGGCGTATGTAATGTGTATCCACACCACATCGTAACTGAAACCTAATCTGATCTCAAAACCAGCTGGATTTGCATGGGTCATCATCTACATTAATTAATTAAGTTAATTACAGTACAGATCGATCGAGGTTTATAGAGTTTAATAATCAATAACTTTTCTCGGATTAATTTAATTTTTTTTTTTTATGGAAAAAATGTTTGGAGTACAATGAATGGAAATTGAAAGGATTAAGCAAAAACCCAAAGAAAAATGGTTTTTTTTTTTTTTTTTTTGCCTAATTTTTTTTCTTGATTTTACGTTTCTAGAAAACCAGTCATCCTAAGAACAGAATTCCTAACTTGGCTCAAATCTCTGCCCTTGAGAGTCCGACCATTTCCGGTGCAGACGGAAAACGCCATCATTTTCCCGGCGATTCTCCGGCCGGTGATCACGTGCGGCGGCACCATTTCCCCGGCGGCGTCGTCCTCCACCGACCCACCCCCTTCCTTAGCGTCCACGCAGCCGCCGACCCACGGCGCCGTTCTTGTAGGCCAGTTGCCGGGGATGTTCACCGGCAGCGAAATCGACTCCCTCCTCGCCGCCGCGGCCGCCGTCACCGGCCTCCTCTGCTTCTTGTTTCTCGATCCTCGAAGACGACCCGCCGAAGCGCGCGCGCTATACTCGTAATCATCATCGTCGTCCTCAACCCCCTCAAACCCAGCTGGGCTTTCTTGAAACACAACCTCGGATTCTTGGTACTCTTCTGCCATGTCTAGAAGAAACAACCTCGTTCAATCGGCACCCTTGAAATGAAATCTTAGGAGATTGGAAAATTTAAGGAAGATGGAGTAGGAAAGATTAAGAGAAAGAGTAAGAATATATATAGGGGAGAAAGACAAAAGTGATTGATTGGATAACGAAGGAGTTTTCATCAGATGTCGTCACTGTAAGGAGCGAGGAGTGCGGTCCCGGCAAGTTTTCTCTCTCTTTCTCTCTCTCTATATAATCACACAAACAATAGTTACTGCGTGGACCGTGGACGGTCCAAAAACAACGTCGTTTATAATATTTAGTTTTTTTATGCGACCACTGTAACATATTTTTAATCTACAGTGTACATTATTCTAGCTCATAAAGTATATTATTTTTTACTTCAGGAGTTTCATTATTCTAATATATAAATCACATTATTCTAATACATTAAATATATTATTCCAACTCATAATCTACATTGTTCTAACTTATAAAATTTAATGACGTCATTTTGGATCGTATCCACACAAAGTTCATAATTTGCCTCACACAAAACAGCTCTCTTACTTGAGCCTCACGGCTTCGCTTGTGTGTATGCGTAGCTTTTGTGTGAAATTAGTTGAATTGACTTTTTTGGCATAAACTCCGATTCCATTTTGGAACTCTTTATGGCACAAAAATATACATTGAGAATTAGGAAAATTTTGAGTAAACTCGTAAAAAATAATCTCTTTTTAGGCTTTAATCGAATATACGAAAAAAAAAATGTAACTTCGTTTTAGATTTTTAGCTAATTATCACGTGCCATGTTAGATGTTAGCAATAGTAATTGTAAAAGGAAAAATGGTTAAATAGGCCCCTAAACTATACATCAAAAGTTAATTAGACACATAATTTTTTTAAAAAATACAATTAAACCCTCAAACATGTCAAATTGAGTCAATGAAGCCCAAGAACAGATAAATAACATGTTATTACAGGTCATTTCAATTCCGACAAAAAATCCGGTGCACGGCCCTCCGTTCCGGCAAAAAATTCTCCGATAACTCTTTGATCACCTTCCCCGGAGAATGCGATCTTTTCTAGTCACCTTCTTCAAGGGAAGGCAACCAGATTTGGTCGCCTTCCACGTAGATGGCGACCGGCGACCCGCGACGGCTTGGCTGTCGCCGGTCGCCTTATTTTTCGTCGGAACGGAGCGTCGGTCGTCGAATTTTTTACCAGAATTAAAATGACATGTAATAACATGTCATTTATCGGTTCTTGGGCTGCATCACTCAATTTGACATGTTTGAGGATTTAATTACACTTTTTTTAAATTTAGGGGCCTAATTGACTTTTGGTGTATAGTTTAGGGGCCAATTTGACCTTTTTCCCATTTTAAAATAAAATAGTCTCTACGGACGGGACCATGTGGGCTTAAAATTAATCCAGTGAAGTTTGAATCACCTAAGCTTTAATTTACTATAGTGGAATAAAGGCAAAATCAATGATTTTAATTTGCGTTGGGAAGGCCGGGTTTTTTTTGTAATCTGGAATTTTCAACATTGAAAATTAAAAAGAAAAAAGTTTAGAAAAGTTAAAGTAATCATCAATTAGCGATTATTGTAACGAATCCGTTACGCGCTCAAGTTGCCCAAACACGACCATTTTTCCTCCTTTTCAGACAAATATCTTATCTCCACTCTCTTCCAAATCAACAATTTATTTTCGAAAACTGTTATGTTAGGATATTATTATTATTTTTAATTGATAGGATTTTTTTTTGAATGGCGTATTACAAGAAGCACAGGGTTCTTTCATGTGCAACAGTGTACACTTCTGTGTACAACTACGGTCTACGTACATTAATGTGTGCAACAGTGTACACTTCTATGTGCAACAGTGTGCACTTCTCTGTGCAACTATGTACACTACTTTGTGCAACAGTGTATATCCATTCATGCAACGGTACACAATGTTTTGTGCAATATTGTACAATTTCATAGCAATTGCTAACGGTGTTTTGTGCAACAATGCATAATTTTTTGTGTAACATTGTACAATTACGTGAACGAGCTTATTCTAGACGCTAACAAGGCTAGAAACAGACACACCCACAAGTTTCGATCCATCACAACACCCCCCCCCCCTCCCCCCCCCCAAAAGAGAAAACAACCCACCGTATTTTAGCAACGACGAATAAGGAAAATGACAAACAAATTAATTAAAATCTCACAAACTTGAATTAGTTAATAATTAACATTCTTAATTTACGCTTAATCTTGATTAATAACTCAAAAACATGCAAAAGAATAGGGAATAAATTTAAAAATCTTTTATTTTAAACCATTGATCTTCACATTTTAATAGAATGGATTTGAAAACACTGACTCATGAAAAGAGGTGAACTCATATGATCATTGGTATATATATATATATATATATATATATATATATATATATATATATATATATATATATTGAAGAGTTCTTGTGTGGTTGTGCGAAGGACGCAGTTAAGCATTAAAATGGCACACCTTAAGTACACAACCCACGCACCTTAAGCACACAAACAAAACACCTTAAGAACACAAACCACGTACGTTAAGAACACAAACCACGCACCTTAATCACACAACAAAGCACCTTAGGAAAACAAACCACACACCTAAATTTTTAAAATGGTTCACCTTAAGTTTCCCACAACTGATGCACCTTAAACATACAAATCACGCACCTTAAGAAAGAAAACAACGCACCTTAAGAAGGAAACCCACGCACCTTAAATTTCAACAACTACTCACATTAAGCACAAACCCACGCACTTTAAGCACAAAACTCACGCAGCTTAAGCACAAAAATCACGCACTTTAAGCACAAAACTCACGCACCTTAAGTTTCAACAATTACTCACATTAAGTACATAACCCATGCACCCTTAAGCACAAAACTCACGCACCTTAATCACAAAAACCACACACCTTAAATTTGACCTAGATGCCCCCGTATTTATTTTTTTAATTTTGGTAATCTTAGACGTTGATTTAAGGAATATCAATGGCTTAGATTTAACCGCTCAACCGCACGAGTGATACTCAACCGCACGGGAACTAAATTATATATATATATATATATATATATATATATATATATATATATATATATATATATATATATATATATATATATATATATATATATATAGGTTCAGGTTCAGGTGCATTTAAGTGTTTCCCGTGCGGTTGTACGGGTGATTAATGTGCGCGAACTTTGTACTTAATGTGCATGAGTCTTGTGCTTAATGTGCGTGAGATTTGTGCTTAATGTGCGTGAGTGTGTAATGTTTAATGTGCGTGAGTTTTGTACTTAATGTTCGTGATTTTAGTGCGTAATGTGCATGAGTTTTGTGTTTAATGTGCATGAGTGTGTACTTAATGTGAGTTGTTGAAATTTTAAAGTGCATGAATTTTATGTTTAATGTGCGTGAGTTTTGTGCTTAATGTGCGTGAGTCGTGTGCTTAAGGTCGTGAGTGTGTACTTAATGTGAGTTGTTTTTAAAACTTAAGGTGCGTGTGTTTTTTTGTGCTTAACAGGCGTGAGTCTTGTGCTTAACATGCGTGAGGTTGTGTTCTGGAGGGGTTTTGTTTGTGTGCTAAATGTGCGTGTGTTGTGTACTTTAAGTGCGTCAAATTAATGCTTAACGTGCGTCCACCCGCACAACTGCACGGGAAGCCTCAAATGCACCTGATCCCTTCCATATATATATATATATATATATATATATATATATATATATATATATATATATATATATATATATATATATATATATATATATATATATATATATATATATATATATATATATATATATAGGGGTTCAAGTGAAAAAGAAGTCGCATGTGAAACGTGCGGGTGTATCTCAGCCATTCATCAGCTCATCTTTAAAAAAGAAATTTGCCACATGTGAGCCACAACAATGTGCCCTGGAAGGAGGAACAATGTGCACTAGAAGGCATAACAATGTGCACTGGAAGGCAAAAATGTGCATTGTAAAGCACAAAAATATGCAATAACTATTTAAAAGACTAAATTTAATACATGATCTTCAACACAAATCATAAAAGATCACAATATTCAACTAAAATTAGTAATTAGTGATTCATTCAAGATCAAAGCTCTTTAAAAAAAGAATATATAACACCTACATATGATCTTAAAGGTTGAAGGCATAAAAATGTGCACTGTAAGGTACAATAAATGTGCTCTTGAAGATGAGACAATGTGCACTGGAACTCTGGAAAGACAAAACTGTGCATGGTAAGGTTTAAATGTTGAAGGCACAACAATATGCACTATAAGGCATAACAATGTGCTATAGAAGAAGGGACAATGTGAACTTGAACTCTAGAAAAGCAAAAATGTGCATGGTAAGGTTTAAAGGATGAAGACAGAACAATGTACTTTGGAAGAAATGACAATGTGCACTGGAAGTCTATAAAGGAAAAAATGTTCATGGTAAGGAAGAAAATATGAAATAATTATTGAAACGACTAAATTTAATGCATGATCTTCAACACAAATCATAAACGATCACAATATTAAACTAAAATTAGTAATTAGTGATTAATTCAAGATCAAATACTCTATAAACTTATATATATATATATATATATATATATATATATATATATATATATATATATATATATATATATATATAATTATAGTCGAGCGGCTCACGAATTGCTCGGCCAAAGCTCAACTCGAGCTCAGTCAACGTTGAGCTCGAGTCTACCTATTCTTTATCGAGCTCGAGCTCGAACCAACTTGAGCTCAAGCTCGACTCGACTCGATTATACCCCTAGTATGGACAACTGATTAATTGAATCATATCATTATAACCCCACCCCGGTATCTGCCATAGTGGGTCTTATTTTCATCAAAATCAACCGTTCTTATAGTGACGTGCTAAAGAGAAAGATAAGATGGGCTAAAAGTAGGTCAAAGTAATTATGAAGCCACTGTACTATAG